AAAGAAGGTTATTTCGAACATCATTGCGACAACGGACATGTTTAGACAGGAAGTAATTTAAGTAATGTTTATGTTTGAACAACCTCTGCAGATTCCGAGAAAACGACAGATGTTACACCCAGTCTTCTTAGCAATAATGAGTTGAAATAAGTGACACTGCCAGTTAAAAGGTGTGCTCTTTGCTTCTAAAAGCTCAGCTTTGAATAGCGCTTAAAGCCAATTTATCGAGTGGAAATTGTGTCAGAATAACGGAAGCCATTCGCTGACGCATTATTTCTTCCACTGTTTAAAATGCTGCGAGCGAAAGGCAGCCCGACTGTCACGAGAGCGAAATCTGGAGAATCTCTTCAATATTTGCCGCTAGTGGGAGGCAAACACTCAGTAACCCACAAAAATGTATCAAGAATTGAAATTTGCAACTGTATCTTCAATGGTATCCTAAGTATCATTTCTTAGCGTAAGGAATTTTTTCAGGTTCTCCGGACTATTATTCTCCGGAATATTATGCTTTTGAGGTTCGAGTTTGTTCCTGTGGTGAAAAATCTTCTCAAAATTTTCAAAATCCATAATAAAATTTTTGCGTTTTGATTACGTGAAAAATCCTGATGCGAAATCACTCGTGTTTAGTAAGTTTTTCTTCGTGTAGTGAGTTTGTCATGGTAGCGCGAGAAATTTTAAAGCGTACATAATTATCCATAAACCGCCATGAATTTTTTTGTTGCTTGTGTCAATTTTTAATTTGTAGCCAGTCAAAGTGCGCTAAAGTGAGACGGTAGGACCGTGAAATCCTTTCATCTCTCTCTTCAGTGAGACTGGAAAGATTGCAATACCGGTGGAAAAAACAAAACAAAACAATAGTAAAAGTCTTGAAACACTACTAAAGAAACAATGTCATTTCAACTGTAACACTTCAAATATAACTATTTCGTATTTTGTATGGAATATCCAAAAACTCAGTTTTAGTTGGGCAATTTATTAACGCTATTGCTTTGCTATAAATCACCTTAGTATGCTAAGATTTTTAATATTAAGTACTTTTAGCCCTCAGAAGAGGTAAATTGTTTTATTTTCTTATACCCTTTTAATGAAACTTAATTCTTTTTAAATCACAGGTCTCTCCCCCCCTTTAAACCCCTGAGCCTAAATCTAATCAGAAATTGAAGGCCTCCCCTGTTTTTACCACAAACAATTTAAACAACCTCAAACTTTACACAGAAATAGATTCTGCAAAATCTTGCACACTATTTCCCACAACCAGGTTTGCCTTTCTGTTTAACAAACACAATATATTTTTTTTAGATGATACAAACAAAGGTGAATGGTGCTGGAAAGAGTATGTCGCTGCTGGCATAGTGGGAGGTACAGCAGCAGTAGTTGCAGCCCCATTTGTCCTGTCTGCTGCAGGATTTACCACTGCGGGTGTTGCTGTAGGCTCTGTTGCTGCTGGTGTCCAGTCTGCAGTGTATGGGGGAGCTGTCGCTTCAAGCAGCATATTTGCAGGACTTCAAAGTGCAGGTGCAGCTGGCATGGGAGCCAAGGCAACTCTTACTGTCTTTTCTTTGGGTGCAGCAGCGACCACCTATGTCAAGGATAAGGTTGCTCCGTGTGCAGAGGAATCAAAATGTTCTTCAGATGTCCCCCATGAGTAATTTGTACAGTTGAATGACTTTCATATATTGGGAAAGTTTGTAATTGATTGCACATAGCTATAGGGTTAGGGTTAAGGTTACATCAGTGTCATTTCAGGAAATTAAATACTGAGCACATAAGTATGTAATAATAACACATTTCTCTTTTTGGCTGGTTTTTCTGTGATCAGAAATGTCTTGAAACATCAGCAGGGCCATTCAAAACCAAAATGTAATTTGAGGCATTTCAAAAAGTATGTAAAGGTAAACACATTCCATACAGTTTGCCAAAGCCAAATGAAAGAAATTGAAGATACAATTCAGTTTTTTGCTCAAACAGTTCTCCAGTTTCCTATTGGGTTATGAAGATGACTCCTTGATGTGTGGATAAAATACTTCGCAGACCAGATGTTTTTTATAAAAAGGAAGCAAATTTTCTTGATAAGGAAGGGAAATTGATTTAAACAGTTTTCGAGTTAAGATAGACAGGGTTTGGTTACAGGGCTCAAACTTAACTTTTGAAGTTAATAGTCGAATGGCTAGTACAAGGTCAGGATTCACTAGCCAAAAATGCATTTCTACTAGGCAAGTGTACAGCACAAAACTATCATTTTTATAGATTAAACAAACACAAGAAAATGTAAAACTGCTAGTACAAGGTCAGGATTCACTAGCCAAAAATGCATTTCTACTAGGCAAGTGTACAGCACAAAACTATCATTTTTATAGATTAAACAAACACAAGAAAATGTAAAACTGCTGTTGCTATCAAACTGTAATCAATTTATTATACAACTGTACATAAAATTCATTGTAAGTATTCATGCTTGTTCGTTATTCCAATTACCTCGACAACAATAAAACCCAACTGTACATGCAGGGTTCTCAGTTGAACCCGTAACCCGTAACACCTGTCACGGGTGTCACAGGTAAGTGTTACGGCTGTCAAAGTGCTTCAACCAGTAGATCAATTCGTCTATCAAATGCAAATAAAAGAACGGCTTTTTGAGTAAATTGCTGGGTAAACTATTGACTGTTAGTTGCTTTCGCAATGTACCTTTCTTCGGTTTTAGCTGTCAAAGTGAATAGCCTTTTTGCAGACCATAGAATAACCGAACAATCGCTTTACGTCTCCGCAACGTTGAATATGGCCGCCATATTGAATTTGTAAATTTGAACCCAGGCCTCTCGCAGATGTCGTCTTTCCACGTGCAAAAACATGGCCGATTCATTCATTAACAAATATTTACGCTATCTTATACTCTTTCTCATTTAGATATATAGCAGTTACTGGGTCAGTGTGGCCTTGAGAATTAGTTTTTGTAAGTGGGTGCCCCCATTTGGAGAGGACTGGTTACCTAATAATTATTTTTGTATAAAATGAATGCCATTAACTCAGAAAGCAAAGCATTGTTATTGCAGGTTAATATTTCATTGAATATTGCCGTGTAGTTTTCAGTTTTATAAGAGATAATTTCAACTTTCCGTAGTTCAAAGCCACTGAACAGATTACAAAATGTACTTAAACTTGTTTGGAGAAAATGAGAAAACATGCCCCCAAAATGAAAGAAAAAGCATTTCTGAGCATCTTAAATAAAAAATTTCCCGGGGGAGCATGCCCCCGGACCCCCCTAGCAGCTTGTGCCCTACGGGCCCAAGTTACACGCCCAAAGGGCGTGTATATTAGGGTTACGCCTGTAACTACCAAAGCAACGGCTGTACAAAATTCTACTGAGAACCCTGACATGTACTGCTGCAGACATTACTTCTTTGTGTGACTTAAGCTTCTAGCTGCAAACAGCAGCTGCTCATTAAAAATGCCTAGTACCCTAGTAGTGTTCAGTATTATAAAACAGTTAATTAGGTGTTCCCAAATGGTAGGAATGATCATTGAAGGCAATGATCAGTCCATCAATGTAGGCCGTTTGCTCCGTTCTGACTCCTCCAGCCAGCGCCCACCTGCAAGAACTGTAGTATAGTCCTCATGAGAAGGTCCACTGATAGCTATTCTCATCAACTCATCAATAGTAGAAACATTCAAGGTTGACCTCCAGTCAGTCATGATTCTGTTCATGCAAGAGTTCCCCCGCTCGCAGCAGGCAGTCTGGCAAGGAATTACAAGACATAGTTCCACAAAAATTAGCAGGTTTGGATAATCATCTTTGCAAAACATAAATTTGTTCTTCCAGAATTCGCTTTGCCTGAGTTCAAGTTCTGCTCTAACTCGCTGTACATGGAATTTCAGACTCATCCATTCATCAAGACAGTCATGCAGACTGAAGTTGTGCTGCTCTAGAGGTACCTGAAAATGACCATGTAGTGTCTGGATTTCATTTTCGCCATTTAAGAGCAGCCGATGCCTGTCTGTAACTGGCCAACCTTGGTGGTTTGTCAAGACAGCTGCTGCTGACAATACTGGATCTGTTTCCATCCCTTCAAACCTCTCTTGGATGAATGTCATGGCAGCATTCACCGCAGATGCCTGGATAGCATTAATAGCCTGCCTGTCTGCATCCCTTTGAAGCTCTATGCCCTTTAATGTGTTGCCATCCCTTACTTCCGTAAGTTGGATTGTCTCTACAAAATTTGCAAAACATCCGGTTTCCTTCTGAGTCGTACGTTAGCCATGTGAAGTCTTTCAACCACGACCGTACGAACTTTCGTTTCGATGAAGATTGAAATGTCGAAGAATCATCAATTGCTCTCTTTGAAGTGGAAGTTGTAGATGTTTGAGATGATTCAGAGGATTTTGATGACGACAGAAATGCCCCGATATCCATACTTAACGAGAGCAATCACGCGTGGCATTTCAAGAGCAATCACGCGTGGCATTTCAAGAGCAATCACGCGTGGCATTTCTTTGGGATGCTGTTTAGCTTGAGTTCTTTGGTAGTAAGAACTTAAACCGCCTTGGGATGACTTTCCACGGCGCTTTTCCCACTGTATTGAATCTTCCTTCCCAGGAAGCCTTTCGAGGCTTTATTCCTTGAATCGAACTCAATCATTTCTACCGGTAATCCATCTTCTTTCCTGTCTCCCATTCATGTATTTTTCTAAAATTTTATGTGGTTTGTCGTCCTATGTAAAATCTAGTATGGTTTTATCAACCCTTTTGGTAAAACTTTCAGGTAATGATAAAACTAAAGCATTGTCTGTTTGTTTATACAACCCGTAGTGTCTTAGCAATGTTGATTTCCTCAAGCAGAGTCGATTTCCTCCTTTCCCGGGAGTAATTTATTATTTCCATGTCTTTTAGTTTCTTATCAAAATGAAGACTTTCACATTGGCTTCTATCGTTGGAGAAGTGGTTATCTGAAGCACAAACAGAATTTTCTAGTCAGCAAATGGATGGAAAGCATATATTTTCCATTGGAATCTATCGCGTGTATTGGACAACCCCTGAGGCAGATTGTAAAAACAACGCTTTACCTTTGTGGGATCTTACCACAACCTTGCCATGCTCGCAGAGCCAGCCCACATATTTGCTGGGGAAAATTTGATCTTTTGCTGAATGATTTCAAAATGTAACTTTTTCAAAAATAATACATGTGGCTCATGAAAGCAAAATAATGACCAAAACCAATGAAACTCCAAATTATAGTTTCGACAACCACAGAAAGACTTTAAAAATAACTGCATTTCAAATTTGTTTTAATCAGTGGTCGTATATTGTTGGACTGTTGAGGGAAACTACCTCGAATACAACGCGCAAACGGAGGCACTAGGAGTTTGAGCATTTCACTGGAAGCGAGATAGCCAACTATAACAGTGTGGTAAAACATCACGTGCACTGATCCTTGGAGCTCAGAAAATTATGGCGGACAAAACAACCGACATAACGCGACCAATCTCAGGAAATGTAAGTAATTTAAATAGCTGTAAGACTAGAACTTTATTTCCGTTTCACGGCGAGTTAAAGCTATTTTGCAGGGTGATATCGAATATCTCACGGGCATTTTTAATTTTGCGAGACTTCTAAAAGCACATAAAATCTAGCTGTTAATGTCGACTGAGTTTTTATTTTCAGTATTTTGTGTGCGTTTTTTTCTTCTGCTTAAAAGAAGTGGCTCGAGATGATTGAAATTTTTGATGGGAATGAATTTTGCAATTCTCAACTCAAGCAAAAGAACATTATCAATATAAACGGCACTTTAAATGTCCTACCTTGGAGACTTTTGGTTGATGCGTAGATCAGTCTTTTTAATGGTTTTGGAATTCGAAGAAAACAGATTGATATTTCATTGGAATGGTAAAGTTTTCATTTGGCTAAGGGTAGCATATTTTCACGTTTTTGTATTTTGCATTGTTCTTTAATAATGACTCGGAAAATATATTTTTCTGATCGAGAATACTTCACAAACTCCACCAAAAATTTAAACCCACGAAATTTCATGTCATAAAGTATTTAAAAGTAGGCAGTCTGATATGGATAGCGAAATGGTGCAAAATTGAACATCGCATTTTTCAATCACATTCAACAAGCACGATCAAATTCAACCTAAAAAATGTAAAAAACTTCAACAGATGGTAAAAACTTGATCGGACTCAACATTTTGCGACCATAATCGAATAGCAAATATAATCATATTTAAGAAGAGCGAAAAAGTTCGTCAAAAAATCCTATGAACCGTGCAGTCGCAGTTATACTGTATGACGGGAAAAACAAGATCAAATGGGCATGCAAATCCGACTCCCAGGTTTCTCCAAGTCTCGAAGAACAAGTGCAAATTTGCGTCAGAGAAGAACTTGCTTCCCAGAGATGAGGAGACCGTGGAATTCAGTCATTAGCTCAAAGGACTCAACAGCTCATAAATGCTTTTGCGTCGTCGGCTGCCGGAAAGTTAAGTGGGGCTGCGACCGGTTTGCAAAGCAATGGCAGGAATGTGCCTTCTGGCGGCAACGAAACATCCAAGCGAGCTAACGCAGTTCCAGTGCATAGCATTCGGTTTCAAAAAAAATCTGTAAAACCAGCCACTTCCAAAGTACAAGTTCCGAAGATTGTACCTTCTGCAAGTACCGGAAGGTAATGCGGACGAAGAGTAAGGCCTGGTCGATGATACGATTATCCTGAAAGGTCAGTTTGATCTATAAACCGAGTCTTCTGAATTGGTTTCCCTTTCTAAGACAAAACCACCTCTGTAACAAACTTTGACTTTGATTTGTTTAGAAGGGACAGAAACACTATTTCTATGCCAGTGATAAAAGAGAATCACAAGTGAGATTTAAACCAGGCTAAACATCTTTGCGATACCGGACGGCTTTGTATAAGTTTGAATGTGCCTGAATACACCCTGGAGTCTCCTAACGAAGAACCTGAGAGTGATTGTGACAGAACAGGAATGATATCCCAGCAAGCTTCCCAACCAACAGTTCAGCTACATCACCACAGAAGGTTCCCACAGGTGTCAATAGAAGCTTTAACTTCCGAAGAGTCTTCGTCAATATTTATTGACGACGGCGACAATTCCTTTGTAAAGTTCTTAGAGAGTCTGTTCTGGTATACCAGAACATTGATCTAGCTGCATATGCACTACTGAAGTCAGGATATTGTCAAGGAACGGCCCAGAGAAAACAAATATGTTTTCTCCGAGAAGTTGAAAGTTGGCAAGGAAGATATGGTAATTAATTGTTTTTAATTGGGTAATAGAATATTTTGTTATTTTGCGTTGTTTTACAGGCCTTATTTTCACTACTGCCTAAGTAGTGCACATTACTGCGAGGATCACTTTCATTCATATGTTGATATTGTTACGCTTGAAACAAGCAAGACATCGCTTATATGCTTCCACTTAAAGCTTAAAGAGCGCAATTAAAGTAAAACTTGTCCACTTATTTCCAGTTTTGGCCTTTCATTATCACTGGAACAATTCAC